TTTTACCACCCTCCCTCTCACCGGTTCTTTGACTCCCGTGACGTCCGTTTCGAGAAGTCCACCCCCTACTACGTCAGGTACCCAAGTCGATGTCTCTCTTTTCCTCCTCCCCCTCTCTTCCTGACTTCCGCTCCCCCTCCTGCTCCCCCGGTACAGCCTCCCCCCCTGGACCCGCCCCGTCAGGTGTGTCCCAGGCTACCCCTCCCCCCTCGGTAGCCCCTCAGGTGCAGCCTCCTTCCCCGCAGTCCTCCTCGCAGCCCGCGGCAGACCCTGCGGGAGCCGGTGCTCGTGGAGAGGGCCCTACAGGTGCTAGCTCTGGGGGTGCTGGAGTTGGAGCTGAGCCCGTGGTTGCAGGAGACTCTTGTCTTCCGGGAGCTGGTGTTGGTCCTGCTGACTTTGGGGGTGCTACGTCTGGGGGTGCGGGTGCACCCTCTTCGGGTCTTGGTGAGCCTGGTCGTGTTGCTGTTGGTGGTGCTGACTCTGGGGGTGGTGCGCCAGGTGCTTTGGAGGGCGGTCCCGGGGCTGCCGCAGCCCCCGACACTACTCCTCCCCCCCACCCCTACCCGACCCGGCACCAGGCTTGTGTTTGCCGTGCCCATAAGGAGCAGCTGGAGTTGGAGAGAGATGAGAGGGAGTTGCAGCGGCTTGAGGAGCAGCAGCAGCAGCAGCAGGAGCAGCTGCAGCAGCCGCAGCTGGAGCCGCCGCAACAGCAGGAGGCGCAGCCGCTGGAGCCGCTGCAGCAGCAGGAGGAGCAGCAGCCACCGCAGCAGCAGCAGCAGCAGCCGCCGCCTCCTCCTCCTGTCTCTGGTCTTCGGGCCCTCGGTCTCCCCTCTTGCTCTCCTTCCTCCTCCCCCTCTCCTCCCGTCTCGGGCCGCTTCCTCCTCCTGACCCCTCCTCGGCTGTTTTCCCTTGTTCTCAGCCTCCGTTGTCCCCTCCTCCTTCTCAGACTTGGGCCTCTTGTCGCCCCCCTCGTGCTCGTCCCTCGTCTCCTGTTCTCGTTACTGACCTTCGTACTGCCCTCTTTCGTTCTAGTCCGTCTCGTTCGTCTCCGTCTCTCCTTCCGTCTCCTCCTGAGTCGGCCTTCACTGCTTCTCTCTCTACTCCTGTCACTGACTACTATCGCACGTACCGTCCTGTTCTCTCTCGTGTTCTCGCTCTCTTGTTACCAACCCTCGTGCCTCTGTCTCCTCTGTCTCCGCCCTTACTGCCGCAGTCACTGAGTTTGCCTCCACTCACTGCCTTGACTACGCCACTGGTCTTGTGGCTACTCCTCCTACCAGTCCTCTGGCCGTCGTGGGTGAGTCTGCCCTTGGCTATGACGTCCTAGAGGACAGGCAGTTTGAGCTAGAGTTCCTGGCAGCCGCTTCCCCACATCTCTGTGCCATGCTGCTCGCCCCTGAGGGAGACCCCGACGCCCTTGACATACCGACTCCTCGCACTTACGCTGAGGCACTGTCAGGGCCTTGGGCCTCTCAGTGGAGAGCTGCCATGGACGCAGAGATGGCCTCCTACAGATCCACAGGCACCTACGCCGACGAGGTTCCCCCCCCCTGGGGCGAACGTAGTCGATGGCATGTGGATCTACAGGGTGAAGCGGCCACCGGGATCTCCTCCGGTCTTCAAGGCGCGCTACGTGGCTAGAGGTTTCAGTCAGCGCGAGGGAGTTGACTTCTTTCAGACCTTCGCGCCTACCCCGAAGATGACCACTCTTCGGGTGTTACTACACGTAGCAGCACAGAGAGACTACGAGTTACACTCTCTCGAATTCTCCACTGCTTTCCTTCAGGGTAGCTTACACGAGGAGGTCTGGCTGCGTCGTCCCTCTGCCTTCACTGGCACTTTCCCTCCTGGGACCCAGTGGAGGCTGAGGCGACCTGTCTACGGTCTTCGTCAGGCTCCTTGTGAGTGGCACAACACTCTTCGTTCCACCCTCTCTGACCTTGGGTTCCAGCAGTCTTCTGCCGACCCGTCGCTGTTCGTTCGTCGTGGCTCCACACCGTTCTTTGTTCTGGTCTACGTCGACGACCTGGTTTTCGCCACTACTGACAGGGTTGCCTTGGCAGACGTGAAGTCCGAACTGCAGAAGAGACACACGTGCACTGACCTTGGTGAGCTGCGCCACTACCTTGGTCTGCAGATTACCAGGGACAGAGCTGCTCGCACCATTACACTCTCACAGTCACACATGGTGCAGCAGGTCCTTCAGCGGTTCGAGCTTCAGCACTCCACAGTACAGCGCACACCTCTTGCTGTTGACCACAGACTTACTGGACCCTTTCCTGACGAGCCGTTTGAGTCTAGTGGTCCCTACGCAGAGCTGGTGGGCTGTCTCATGTACCTGATGACTTGCACTCGCCCGGACCTCGCCTTCCCTCTCAGCATCCTTGCTCGCTTTGTTGCGCCAGGGACACCGTCCTGTTCACTGGACGGCAGCTGTGAGGGTGGCGAAGTACCTAGCGACGACATCGGGAGTGGGGCTAGTTCTTGGAGGGCAACAGCCTGGCGTACTTACTGGTCACTGTGACTCTTCTTACGCTGACGACGCTGAGACTCATAGGTCTACTCAGGGGTGCTTTTTCAGTTTGGGTTCTGGAGCTGTTTCGTGGCGGTCCACGCGCTCCTCTTTGGTCTCGACCTCTACAGCTGAGGCTGAGATCTATGCTGGTGCCATGGCGGCACAGGAGCTGCGTTGGTTGACCTTCTTGCTCGCCGACCTTGGTGAGCGGCCGAGCTCTGCACCGACCTTGTTCACTGACAACAAGGCGTCGATTCTCCTTTGTCGAGAGCCGCGACTGGAGAGCAGAGTGAAGCACATTAACGTCAGGTACTTTCTTCTGCGAGAGTTGCAAAGACGTGGACAGGCTCGCTTCGAGTTTGTGGAGTCCGAGGCCAACACTGCAGACATCTTCACCAAGGCGCTTCCGCCTTGTGACCACCAGAGGTGTTGTGTGCAGTTAGGCCTTGTTGACACCGTTTCTAGTCGTGTATAGGCTTGAGTCTACTGTTTGCTTTGCTTGTACTCTTACTATACATACTTGTGAACTCTCGAACTGGCCTTGTGGCCCCTGTTGCTTGTGCTCAGAGTGTGTGGTGACGTTGTGATCCACCCTGAGCTTTGTTTCTTTGTGACTGGTCTTGTGACCATACACTTTTGGTTTTGCTTGACACCCCTCACTTAGGCTATGGGGGTGTGTCAAATGTTGTAGCCTGTAGTGAGGTTTGTCTTAGGGGGTACAGATGTTAGGGTCTGTGATATGTACCCCAACCCACATCAATGAACCAACACTTTCGTTCTTGACATCATCGTGCGATGATGAAGTCTAGGCAGAAAAATGCTGTGATGAAAGCCAAGACTGGGAGTAATGAAGTGATTTGCCATGAAGCTGAGCACGAATAGGTTAAATATTGTTGAGCTTCTTTCTGGGTCCAGTCGTTCTTGGAGTTGGTGATGTGAAACCGATGTAGAAGCCTCAGGATCATAGCTTGTAATAGACTTGATAATAATAAAACTGCAGATGTCAGTTTCCAGCCTGGATGATAGACCGAGCCATGGCGATCCCGAGGGTGCCTGATCAACTCCATGAAAGGTTGCCTTGTAACACGGCGAGCCAATGTCAGCATAAATGACAGGTCTCCCGACAGCTGAGTTACTGACGAACCTAATGGTGTAGAAAGAAAGTGGATTGAGGCCCTCTAGCGAGGACATTGCGCGGTTCGGATCTGGCAGAATCCATGGCGGATGTAAGGCGCGGAGCATCTTTGCGGAGGAGACGATGCAGTATACATGATTAAGCTTTGCTTTTACACATGAAAACATGTGTAGACGATCAAGACTCAATGCAGAAACGCAGAAAAAGAAATCTACAGTAGCACACAAAATACTAGGTCAGGTGCAGCCCAGTATCCTTCTAGAGTTATTAGAGTCACACTATTTGGTACAACAAGCCAACCAAACATGCAGTATCAACCCAAATGCATACACTGAAATTATTCAGCCACTGTGAGCGAAATTGGTACTGGTCTTCAAACAACCATGTGCAGTTGCACACCTCTGCAACCAGCCCTGTCCGATCTCATGCCTTCTTCCCTTGTCCTCCAACTTCTTTGTGGTGAACATGATTAGCTCTCTGAGGTGCACCGAGAGGGCGAACGGAAGGGCAAGCCACAACGTAGGACATGAGCCAATGCGAGGGAAGTGACATGAGATGGAAGATGATAAAAGCAAATGATAAAGCAACAGGGAAGGCAAAATACCCTCTACCTCTCCCTCTGTCTCTCCCTCTCCCTCTGCCTTTCCCTCTCCCTCTCCCCTTTCTGTCCCTTACAAGTGCACTTGTTGTTATAATCCCTTTGAAATCCCGCCTTGCACTGACGGGCCGCCTTTCCTCCCACCACCTTGCACTGCGTATTGGCAGGGTAGCCACCCTTGCATATGGCTGCCACATGTGATTGGGAAAGTTCGATGGGAAGAATGTTAAAAGATGAGCGAGGAAGAGATGAGCGTATGCAGCAATTTTAGATGGCGTAAATGCAACAGCCATGTAGCTCATGGGTGTACTAGCTTAGAAGCAGGGGTTGTGGTGGTGGAGGTGACTGTCCCTTACGCGTGCACTTGTTGTTATTTGCCATCCGGAACCCCGCCTTGCACTGACATGCCGGATTCCCTTTCACCACCTTGCACTCCGCATTAGCAGGACAGGCGGGATAGCATACGGCTGCCACAGGAGGTGGGCGGGGGTGGGGCGGGGGGGGGAGGGGGGGGAGGGTTGCACAGGGCAGGCATTGTTGCATATGGCTGCCACATGAGGTGGGTGGATGGGAGGGGAGTGCACCGTGCAGGTGAATGAAGAACAGTTTAATTTTGAGGCGCCTCAAAACTAGATTAGCAGGGCAGGCAGTGTTGCATACGGCTGCCACAGGAGGTGCGTGGACGGGTGCAAGTGAAGGGAGAGCTTGAAGAATTGAGTTAGAAGCAGTTGAGGGGCAAACAGTGAGAGTAGATGGAACGGATGTCATGCGGATGCTCATGGGTGCATGTGGGAGGTGGAGATGGGTGCATGTGGGAGGTGGAGATGGGTGCGTGTGGGAGGTGGATATGGGTGCATGTGAGAGGTGGAGATGGGTGCATGTGGGAGGTGGAGATGGATGCATGTGAGAGGTGGAGATGGGTGCATGTGGGAGGTGGAGATGGGTGCGTGTGGGAGGTGGAGATGGGTGCATGTGAGAGGTGGAGATGGGTGCGTGTGGGAGGTGGATATGGGTGCATGTGGGAGGTGGAGATGGGTGCGTGTGGGAGGTGGAGATGGGTGTGTGTGGGAGGTGGAGATGGGTGCGTGTGGGAGGTGGAGATGGGTGCGTGTGGGAGGTGGAGATGTGTGGATGTGGGAGGTGGAGATGGATGCATGTGGGAGGTGGAGATGGGTGCATGTGGGAGGTGGAGATGGGTGCATGTGAGAGGTGGAGATGGGTGCGTGTGGGAGGTGGAGATGGGTGCATGTGAGAGGTGGAGATGGGTGCGTGTGGGAGGTGGAGATGGGTGCGTGTGGGAGGTGGAGATGGGTGCATGTGGGAGGTGGAGATGGGTGCGTGTGGGAGGTGGAGATGGGTGCGTGTGGGAGGAGGAGATGGGTGCATGTGGGAGGTGGAGATGGGTGCATGTGGGAGGTGGAGATGGGTGCATGTGGGAGGTGGAGATGGGTGCATGTGGGAGGTGGAGATGGGTGCATGTGGGAGGTGGAGATGGGTGCATGTGGGAGGTGGAGATGGGTGCATGTGGGAGGTGGAGATGGGTGCATGTGGGAGGTGGAGATGGGTGCATGTGGGAGGTGGAGATGGGTGCATGTGGGAGGTGGAGATGGGTGCATGTGGGAGGTGGAGATGGGTGCATGTGGGAGGTGGAGATGGGTGCATGTGGGAGGTGGAGATGGGTGCATGTGGGAGGTGGAGATGGGTGCATGTGGGAGGTGGAGATGGGTGCTTGTGGGAGGTGGAGGTGGTGGGATACGTCAAACTGGTGTGCACGGAAAGAAACCCCTCCCCTCTCACGTACGTGTGCACTCGTTCTTCTCCATTTTGAAGCCTTTTTTGCACCGACACACCGGCTTTCCTCCCTTCACTATGCACTGGGCATTCACACAGCAAGCAGGCTTGCACATGGCTGGCGTGGGTGGGAGATGGGAGATGAGGTAAGGGGGAAAGAGCATGAGGCTGGGTGAGACAGGACAGCAGTGGAGAAATACGAGGCGAGTGGAGAGGATGGAAGGAGGAGTGGCATGAGAATGACTTTTGAGGCGCCTCAAAAGAGTGGCATGAGAATGACTTTTGAGGCGCCTCAAAAGAGTGGCATGAGAATGCCACCGAACCCCCACAGGAAGTCAAGATCGACTCGCATGAAGCACTGTGATCTCCTTTACAGTATTTTTGAGAACTCTCAGAAGCACTGTGATCCCGTGCACTGTCGCTAAAGGCTGTATTGCCTCTTAACCTCTTGGTCACCTGCACATGTGGAGCTCACCAGTGCAGAGGCCACTTGTCTTGGTGTAGCCGGCATTACAGGCGCAACTCCCCCGCCCATTCTTCACAACGCACTTTGAGTTCTTGCCACACTTGAGTGTGCCCGTCTTACACGGGTCTGCCGCTGCTATTGGTGGAGAAGGGAGGGATTCAGCGTTAGCTTGACTGAACGTCTAAGGGCAGTTCACTTTCAGGCTGCACTTCTCAGAGTCACTTGCACAGCACAGATGTAACTCTGTGTTTGTTGGCAAGCATGCAACAAGAGACAAGGACACCTACCGGCAGTAAGAGACAAGGACACCCACTAGCAGTATAAAACGTAGTGCTGCAGAAATATCTGTTTCTTTGAACACGAGGCCTCAGGGGCGCTTGCACTGGGCCTTGCCCTCCTTCACAATGCACTCCGAGGTTCCACAGTTCTATTTTTGAGACGTCTCAAAACTAGACCTACCAGGGTTGATAGTCTTATTGCCGCAGATCTTCTGAGCCTCATTGAACTCGAGGCCCCAGGGGCACTTGCACTGGGCCTTCCCCTCCTCCACAACGCACTTGGCAGTTCCACAATCTTTGGGACACGGGGCTGTTGTGGGCACCACAGACAGGGCTGTTGTGGGCACCACAGAGGAACAAACACCCCCGGCAAAAGAAGGAAACGGGTAAGGGAGGGGACCATAAGGGGGGCATAGGGAGACAAAGAAGAGGCTTGCTTCTCACCTTTTTTTACCTAGTATCTCCCATACTGGTGACTTAGTCAGAATGAGCAAACAGGGGGTAATGATGAAGAACAGCACTCCATCAACAAGGGAAGAAAAAGGTTTCTTCTCAGCACCTATTGATACTTCACCAACAAAAACCCCAGCACCCACACACACTCCACCACTCACCATCGCATGCCTTGTTTGCTACATTGTAGATATAACCTTCAACATTGCATGAGCACGTGGCAGTGCCATTGCCTCCCAGAGAGCAGGAAGCACTTGCCCCACAATCCACTTGATAACACGCATCTGCAGGAGAATCGGTGGTGATTCGAGAAAAACAAGTGTTTTGGGTTTAGGGTTTAGGTTTCGGGGTCTAGGGAAGAATTTGGTTAACCCACACTCCAGCACCCACCCTCACTTCCACTCACCATTGCAAGTCTTGTCCGTTGTAGGTGTGACCAATAGCATTGCACGAGCACTTGGGAGTGCCATCGGCTGTCACAAAGCAGGAAGCACTTTTCCCGCAATCCACTTGATAACACGCGTCTGCAGGGGAATTCAAGATAGTTTCGAGGTGAAATAGGGGATCGGAGATGTGAAATGGACGATAGACTTTCAGCACACACCCATATCCAACACCCACCCACATTCCAGCACCCACCCACACTCCCACTCACCATTGCAAGTCTTGTCTGCTTCGTTGTAGGTGTGACCAATAGCATTGCACGAGCACTTGGGAGTGCCATCGGCTGTCACAGAGCAGGAAGCACTTTTCCCGCAATCCACTTGATAACACGCGTCTGCAGGGGAATTCAAGATAGTTTCGAGGTGAAATAGGGGATCGGAGATGTGAAATGGACGATAGACTTTCAGCACACACCCATATCCAACACCCACCCACATTCCAGCACCCACCCACACTCCCACTCACCATTGCAAGTCTTGTCTGCTTCGTTGTAGGTGTGACCAATAGCATTGCACGAGCACTTGGGAGTGCCAGCGGCTGTCACAGAGCAGGAAGCACTTTTCCCGCAATCCACTTGATAACACGCGTCTGCAGGGGAATTCAAGATAGTTTCGAGGTGAAATAGGGGATTGGAGATGTGAAATGGACGATAGACTTTCAGCACACACCCATATCCAACACCCACCCACATTCCAGCACCCACCCACACTCCCACTCACCATTGCAAGTCTTGTCTGCTTCGTTGTAGGTGTGACCAATAGCATTGCACGAGCACTTGGGAGTGCCATCGGCTGTCACAGAGCAGGAAGCACTTTTCCCGCAATCCACTTGATAACACGCGTCTGCAGGGGAATTCAAGATAGTTTCGAGGTGAAATAGGGGATCGGAGATGTGAAATGGACGATAGACTTTCAGCACACACCCATATCCAACACCCACCCACATTCCAGCACCCACCCACACTCCCACTCACCATTGCACGTCTTGTCTGCTTTGTTGTAGGTGTGACCAATAGCATTGCACGAGCACTTGGGAGTGCCAGCGGCTGTCACAGAGCAGGAAGCACTTTTCCCGCAATCCACTTGATAACACGCATCTGCAGGGGAATTCATGATGGATTCAAGGTGAAAAAGGAGAACGGAGATGTGAATGGATGATCTTTACCCAATTGTGAGAACAAACTCACACATCGGCACACGCCCATACAACACCCACCCACACTCCAGAACCCAACCCACACTCCAGAACCCACCCACACTCCCACTCACCATTGCAAGTCTTGTCTGCTTTGTTAAAGGTGTGGCCAGTAGCTTTGCACGAGCACTTGGGAGTGCCATCGGCCAAAGAGCAGGAAGTACTGCTGCTGCAATCCACTTGATAACACGCGTTTGCAGGGGAATGCATGATGGTTTCAAGGTGAAATAGGGGAACGGAGATGTGAAATGAACGATTTTAACGAATTTTGAGAACAAACTCACACTTCAGAACACCACCCATATCCAACACCTACCCACACTCCAGAACACAACCCACACTCCAGAACCCACCCACACTTCCACTCACCATGGCAAGTCTTGTCTGCTTCGTTGTAGGTGTCACCAATAGCATTGCATGAGCACTTGGGAGTGCCAGCGGCTGTCACAAAGCAGGAAGCACTTTTCCCGCAATCCACTTGATAACACGCGTCTGCAGGGGAATGCATGATGGTTTCAAGGTGAAATAGGGGAACGGAGTGGTGAAATAAACGATTTAAACTAATCGTGAGAACAAACTCACACTTCAGAACACACCCATATCCAACACCCACCCACACTCCAGAACCCACCCACACTCCCACTCACCATTGCAAGTCTTGTCTGCTTCGTTAAAGGTGTGGCCAGTAGCTTTGCGCGAGCACTTGGGAGTGCCATCGGCCAAAGAGCAGGAAGCACTGCTGCCGCAATCCACTTGATAACACGCGTATGCAGGGGAATGCATGATGGTTTCAAGGTGGAATAGGGGAACGGAGATGTGAAATGGACGATTTTAACGAATTTTGAGAACAAACTCACACTCCAGCACCCACCCACACTTCCACTCACCATGGCAAGTCTTGTCTGGTTCGTTGAAGGTGTGACCTTGAGCTTTGCACGAGCACGTGGGAACACCATCAATCGTAGAGCAAGTAGCACTCATGCCGCAATCCGTTACTTCGCACATGTCTGCAGTGCAGGGGGCAGGGGAAACCGTCCGTGATGGTTCAAAGGTGAAAAGGAATGACTTTTGAGTCGACTCAAGTAGCACTGGTGCCGCAATCCGTTACTGCGCACATGTCTGCAGGGGAAACCGTGATGCTTCAAAGGTGGAAAGGGGAAACAGGTTTGTGAAATAGACAGTCTACCTGATCGTGTAGTGTGCATTAACCCACACTTCAGCACCCCAGCAGTGAGAAGAATGCCGTGAGACGTGAGAGGATGGGAAGCAAGAGCGGGGTGGGGGAAGCAAGAAGGTGGGTGGGATGCACGACCAACACCAGTTGGTTGTCATGCCATGCCACTGCTTATTAGCTTGGTTTTGAGCCGTCTCAAAGCACCCACCCACCCACACTCCAGAGCTGGGGAAGCACGAAGGTGGGTGGGATGCAAGGAGGTGGGTGGGATGCAAGGAGGTGGGTGGGACGCAAGGAGGTGGGTGGGACGCAAGGAGGTGGGTGGGACGCAAGGAGGTGGGTGGGACGCAAGGAGGTGGGTGGGATGCAAGGAGGTGGGTGGGACGCAAGGAGGTGGGTGGGACGCAAGGAGGTGGGTGGGACGCAAGGAGGTGGGTGGGACGCAAGGAGGTGGGTGGGATGCAAGGAGGTGGGTGGGATGCACGACCAACATCAGTTGGTTTTCATGCCGTGCCACTGCGTATCAGCTTGCTTTTCAGGGGTGCATTTGAACAAAGCTCCCCTCCCCAGCTCTCACCGGAATGGCACTTTTGGTCCAGCTCGCTGAAAAAAACGGCCACCCGCATTGCATACGCAGGTGTAAAAAACCACATCTTGCTCGTGTTGCACAATGCACGTAGCATCGCTCGGGCAGACTTTGTTGCAGGAAGGAGTGGGGTTCTGATTAGGAGTAGGGATGTTTTGATCTGGAAAGAGGGAGGGAAATGGGGTACAAAATGGTCATTTTGCTAGCCAGCCGAGCGATGATAAACTCACCCACACTCCACCTCTCACCCACTCTCCACCTCTTACCCACACTCCAGCACCCACCCACACCCCTGCGGTCACCCAGGGAAGAAAGTATGTGAGAAGCCAGAGGATGGGAAGCAAGAGCGGGGAAGGCAAGAGCAAGAAGGTGAGTGGCGTGCACTGCTATTACCAGCTGGTTGCCATGCCACTGCTTATGAGCGAGGGTGCATTTGATCGCTGTGGCCCAGCACACACTCACCATGGCACTGCTGGTCGGCTTCACTGAAGGTCAGACCGTCGGTGACGCACTGGCAGCCGAATGTGTTGTCAGCAAGCACAATGCAGTAGGAATCGCTCGGACAGACTCTCTTGCAGGTGGGATTCTCTGAGTTGGGAGGGGGGGAGGGGGGGAGGGGGAGAGGGGGGGGTTGGGGGGGGG